TCTCTCTCTCTCTCTCTCTCTCTCTCTCTCTCTCTCTCTCTCTCTCTCTCTCTCTCTGTGTCTGTGTGTGCCGTTCTCTTTCTCCGGGGAAGCGAAGATAATACTAGAGGAGGGGTACCGGAGGGCACAGGCGCCATGGCGATCCCGACGGAGACGCGGAAAAAGAACAGGATCCAGGTGTCGAGCACGAAGAAACCTCTCTTCTTCTACGTGAACCTTGCGAAGCGGTTTATGCAGCAGCACGAAGAAGTTGAACTGTCGGCATTGGGCATGGCCATCGCGACGGTCGTGACGGTGGCCGAGATCTTGAAGAATAACGGTCTGGCAGTGGAGAGGAGGATAACCACATCAACGGTGGAGATGCGAGATGACGCCAGAGGCCGTCCGATGCAGAAAGCAAAGGTGGAGATTGTGTTGACGAAGTCTGCCAAGTTCGAAGAGCTCATAGCGGGATATGCGGGTGATGAAAACGAGACGGGGGGAGGGCGAGGAGGAGGAGGCGTAAGATAATATGCCCCGTAACGGCGGAGGAAAGGGGTTGCGGCGTAACGGAAAACACGGGAAGAGAAGGGGGTTGCGTAACGGAATAGCCGTAAGTAAAACGGATTAACGGGGACGGAATGTTGGAGTTGGGTAACGCAATAGCCGGCACGCGGAAGAGAGAGAGAGAGAGAGAGAGAGAGAGAGAGAGAGAGAGAGAGCTGATTATCTTGTGAGAGAGAATGCAGACACAGAGAGAGAGAGAGAGAGAGAGAGAGAGAGAGAGAGAGAGAGAGAGAGAGAGAGAATGTGCACAGAGAGAGAGAGAACTAATTATCTTGTGCGCGGAGAACGGAGGAACATCCTGCACAGAATATGGCATGTTGAAGGGGGGAAAAAAATGAAAAAAAGAGAAATGGCAGTCTCGAGSMGTTAKKKGAWRGAWTGACGTATGTCGCGTAATGTTMTGAAATACTACAGGCCAATCGACTGTTCAAAAAAAAAAAAAAAAAAAAAAAAMARWTTGACCGTGAGGTAAAGGACTGRRGGGTGGGTGGGGGGGGGGTTGCGTAACGGAATAGCCGGAATTTGGAACGGGTACGGAATAGCCTAACGCAATCGCCGAGAGCAGCGACGGGTAGGAATCGCAATGGCCGCTGCCAGCCGAAACGGAATAGCCTAACGGAGTAGTGTAACGGAATAGCCAGGTCCCAAACGGAATAGCCGGGTCCTGAAACGGGTACCTAACGGAGTCGTGTAACGGAATAGCCGACAGCTGAAACGGGTATGGCACTGAGATAACGTAACGGAATAGCCGGATCCGAAACGGGTACATACCAGAATAGCCTAAGGGAATACCAGATTAGCCGGAATAGCCTAACGGAATAGCGTAACGGAATAGTTTTGCTGACAACATCGACTTTTGACTTGGCTTGACTTGTATTCGCCGGGGCCCCAAACGGGAACATGGTCCTACATGGTTCTTTGGGACATCCGTTAAAATTGGAACGATACAGAGAAAGAGGAGATTAGCATGCATGGGCCCTGCGCAAGGAGGACACGCATAAATTGAGAAATGGATTACCAAAAAAGAAAAAGGCAAAAAAAAAAGGGCTGCATCCCCCTCCCCTGCTCCTGCGTAACGGGAAGGTAACGAAACGTAACGGAAAAGGCCTGCGTAATGGTGATCAGGGCTCCAATCAATGAAGCAGAGGAGCCGTCAGGAGCTGCGGCGACACGTGGAGGAAGGAGAGGAGTGAGTGAGTTAGTAATGATGTTGATGACGATGATGATGATGATGATAATGATGCTTGTGCGGCGATAATGAGAAGTGAAAAAAAAGCCTTCTTGTGTTAAAAAAACACAGAAAAATGTTCAAAAAACAGACCTCTTCTGATTACTTCTTCTGTGACACAGTTGGTCAGTATTTTGTTCAACAATTTCTTCTGGTCTTTGACTTCGAGCTTTGTGTGTGTGTGTGTGTGTGTGTGTGTGTGTGTGTGTGTGTGTGTGTGTGTGTTTTCTGTCTGAAACGTTAGGCGAGTCTTAGGGATGGGCCTTAGGTGGGTGCAATTCCCGCATGTTCCCTCGTTGGAGGCTTGAGCACGGATGTGGCTGCTACGGGGTTCCCCGTAATACTATAATGACAATAAAAAAAAGGCCTGAAAGGCCGTTCTGTCCAGATTCAACAGGTAATTGAATTGGTTGGGCTTAAAAGAATTAGCCTTTGAAAAAAAAAAAAGAAAAAAAAAAAAGGGATGGGCCTTAGCTCAGTGGGTACACCCACGAACTGTTGAAATGAAAAGGAAGAGAGGAAAAAGGGACAAAAGAAAGGAGAAACACACCTCCCAAAGTGGCACCCTCTAGCTGCGGTTAAACCAAAAAAAAAAAAAAAAAAGAAGGTCATGAGAAAAAATATCCTTCTTAACTGACATTTCGTGAAAAATGACATTTTTTTTTCCATAAACTCGTGAAAGTGTGGACTTAATCAAAATTTCATTGCTCATTGGGTGAGAAAGTGGTTATCTCAATTTGACCACATGATGTACTATCTCAACGTAAAGTACCGTCAAAATACATCCGAGGGTCCGATCATCGGACTTCGTCACGACGCCCCCGATCATGGGACTTTGTCACGACCCCCGACCATAAGATGGTCCGACGTCATGGGGACAAAAAAACTCTAAAAAGTGCTGCTTTTTTTTTTTCGTACGCTCAATTTCGTGAATTTAGAAAAAAAAATGTCAGTTTTAACGAAATGTCAGTTTCTTGTGTTACAAAAGGAAGAAAGAGTTCTTTTTCACGAGTGCAGTTGTGTGGCCTTTTGTGAGCAATTTGTTCCACAGTTTCTTCTGGACCTTCTGGTCTTTGACTTTGACTGGGCGTCAACTTTCTTTTTTTTTCTTTTTTTTTTGTTCAGAAAATAGACGAGTCTTAGCTATCCCTGGCTATGGTTTCAATCTGTCTTTTTTTTTGTTGAATTAAAGAAAATAGACTACTCTTAGCAACCTGTGTCCTTATTCTTGATTGACAATAAAAGCGTGTTTGTTCAGGGAAAAAAAAAAAAAAAAAAAAGTCTGGTCCTAATCAACAGGCATCTGGGTGTGTACCACGCAGGTCAACTCTCCCTTTTTCTTTTTGCCTTTTTCTTTTTGCCTTTTCCTTTTTCTTTTAATGGGTGTTGGGGGAAAAAGGGGGGGGGGGGGACGGAACGCCTTTGCTAATTGTCATCCAACATCCGTTGAATCTGACTCTGTTTTTTTTTTTTTTTTTTTTTTTTCCCACAAAGATTATTTTATTGCCAACTACTCCATCTCCAAGGTATCGGTACCTTTGTTTGTGTTAAGTCCTAGGTATTCACCCCATTGTTGCAGCCGTGTGGTTGCAAACAACAAGCACAGGGGCGCACAGATCATTATGGGAGTGTGGGCTGTTATTAGCACAATATAAATACATCAAATCTGGTTTTTCTTTTCCTTTCCTTTCCCCCCCCCCCCCGTCCCCCC